ATGCAGAGATGGAGGCCAGAGAGAGAGTTGTCTGTAGAAAGCTTTGGTTGCGTTTACTGCCGTGGCAATCTCAAGCACAGTCCTTTACTTTTACTGCTAAAAGCAGAAAAGGAGTGAGGAAATTTTAAAACAGGCTAGCAGAGAACTTGGAGTAGTTTCACGCCATTACATCTGTGCTTTACATCTCCTTAATGGTTCAGTCTTCAGCCAAGAAAACACAGTAGCTGGAAATCAGCATTTCTGAGAACATGCTGCCTGTGTCAGGCCACTCCTAAGACATAAATGAAAAATCTGTGACATTCTGAGAACCCCCTTGCCCGTGCTGCAGTGAGCACAGCCTGTTCTCAGTGCTCTGCAACGGAGCCCAGAGCTTGTGGAGCTAAAAAGTCACAGAGATTCTGTATCCTGGCATAAAGCCTGAAGTTACACCTTCTACAACATGGGTAGAGTTGACTGAGCATAGCTTCAGGTTTATTTCTGGAGGTATCCATGCAAATGGAAAAATGATAAAAAATCACTTTTAAAAGAGCAGTAGCTCAGATCATCATCTTTAAATTTAGAGGAAGCTTTTTTTTCTTTTTTTAATTGCAGTGTAGATCAGAACTGAATTAAAAATATATTGGTGTGACTCCACCTTGCAGCATTCCCATAGCAAGGTGTTTCCCAGAAGCTTTTCTGACTTCCAGTAAAAGCCAAGGTACTTCCTGGCTTGCAGCAGATCCATGGATTCTTGCCAGCAAAAATCTGCAGCTAAGAATCCCTTAGCTTCTGCCTTTGATTTCCCAACAGTTCTGTGTTCAGGGAGAGAATCATCAGTAAAGAAGGCTGCAGTATTTATTTTCATTATTTTCTTTATTTCTTTATTCAACTGCATTCTCTTCAAGTAGTTGCTGTAATTTCCATTTCAGAAAGGTTTGTTGTGAATACTGAGGTCTAATTTCTAGCTGATGCAACACAAAATAATTGTTTTTAAACCCTCAGACAATGATCTGCTGTCAAGAAAACACCCCAACAGAACAGTTTTCAACTTTGCACAGCGAATTAAGTCTATAATTTTGCTCAGAAAATACCTTTGGTTTCTCATATGAACATTGGGTTGTGGTCTTTTCTATCTCCTTTTGTTTTTAATTATTTTTTGCAGGTCTGGGATTATTTTGAGATGTTTAGATAAAATGCAGTAACAAGTACTCTCAAGCTGTTGGAGTTGCTTTGAATTTACATCCATATAGTGCAGTTGCAAAAGGTAATGAAACCAACATTGCTTGATTCACAAGGAAACATAAGGAATGACAAAAATAATGGTGATATGTCTGCAGAGTGATGTTAGCACAAAGCAACACTCCAGTGACAAGGACTGTTTTCCTCACAGCTGAAGGTGCTATTGATTTTTTTCTGTTCTTTTATTTCTCCCTGACTTAAATTATGTAATCCAGACTTCCCAGTTGTCCCAGTCAGTGTATGTGTTACTCTGGCTAAACTGGATATTTAATGGGACATTGATTTGTCTTATTTGAAGCCTAAATGAGTTTAAGAAAGCATTCATTATTCATTGATTATTCATTTAAGCTGGTCTTGAGTGGAAGTCTCAACCTATCTTGTCTTGAAATGTTCTTCTTTGTGTATCTCTGACCAGAGATTTTATTCATTAATTAGAGAAAAAAAGTCTTCAGGCAGTGCCCAGCAGTCTTAGCCAAAAGCACCCATGCACCCTGTCATGCTGGCTGGGCTGAGCTGGGATGGGACAGCTTTGTGTGCAGACAGGTTTCAGTTCACATCCTTAAACTGGAGCTGACAAATACTTAACCTGTGCTTGTGTTCCACACCCGGGCTGTGGGTGGGCACTTTGTGCTGTGAAGACAACTGTGAGCCCTGGTACTGAGGCAAGAAGCTGACTGGCTGTCTTAGTGCTTACGTGGCTCTTTCCATCCCTGGAACCTTGTCATGGGATTTATTCTCACAGTAGGCTGCGGTTAACAGTGCTGTTGCACCTGGCTTACAGTCCCAGACACTGAAGACACAGAGAAACTAAAAATTCAAATAATTGTAACTTGGAAGGTCTCCTGGTGGTCCCAGGTTCAGTGACTTAGCTGAATTAACTGTATGGCTTTATTCCTTTAGGGTTAAGGGATATCATCCAAAGAGCCCAGGTATCTGTTGTGGAGCAGGAATCTGGGTTATCCAGATTCTAAATTCATGCCCTGTCTCTGACTATGCTGTCTGGAGTCTGTTGTAATTGTCTCAGACTTGATCTAGGGTTGCCTTATTACATCTGTGATGCCTGAGAAGATATCCTGTAGTTGTGGTGGGGAGGGTTGGTGCAGGCAGAGCCTGAAATATGGACTCTCAAGGTGTGAAATCCCTGCAAGCAGATGAACCCAGCTCCTGACTCTGACCTTTTCAAACCTAGAGCAGCTTAAAACTGACATGTCCAGTGAGCTGGCTGGACTTCAGTCAGAAAAATTTCAATAAGCTACTTGTAGAGGTATTCCTCTTTCTTTTTTCTTTAATTCCCTGTTCTGTCCTCACTGGTAACTGTGAAAGGTCACCTCTGCCACTGAACAGCCTTGTGTGTATTGCGTGCATCCAAAGGAAAAAGCTTACAAGCAATTCCTTACAGGAGGGTGAAAGTCAATTATTCGATTTTGACCTACAATGCTAAATGGAGGCCAGTAAGACAAGCACCATAATTAGCTTCACTTAAGAGATCAGTCTGGAAATAGCAACTAACAGTATTTGTATTCATTTAAATGGCTTTAAAGGCAGAACTGGAAAGAAGCTGCATCATTGGACCAGCCTTGAAAATAGTTATTTACTCTCCTGTAAAGAGCAGAGGCTTGTGTTTCAGATCAATACCAGAATATCTGGAACCTGGTGTGCAGAATGTCAGAGTGTCCTACACATGTGAGGGGAATAAGGAGAATGTTGCAGGTACAGATTTCACAATGCTTAGGGAGCATTTTCCCAAATTCTTCATCCATTTCCTCTTGTGAGCAGCTTTAAAAGTCCACACTGTTAACTTTAGCTTTCATCAGGCCCATCTCAGGCTGTATGGGTCTGAGAGGGAATTTTGCTCATAATAATTTCATTAGTTAACAGTCATCTCTGTGTTTGTCTTTTATTCATTCTTTCTTTCCTTCTTTCTTTCCTATATATTTCCTTGGTTGCCAGTGAATAGTTTTGTTTGTAAGAATAATAACTTCCACTCCAGAAACGGTATTGCACTGCAGACTATTAGATGAGGTTCACTCAAGGTAAAGCATTCAGTGAGCTTTTACTTCACTGGAGCTGCTAATTGAAATACTGGTTGGCATTACCAGCTGAATTCTGTTCACCAGGACGGGCTGAATAACTGTTCAGGAGAAATAGTTTTAAGTGAAGCTATCAGAAAAAGAGGTATTAAAAACTTTGAGGTTTGAGTAGAAGAATTCAACCCTTTGAAGTTTGGGGTTGGAGATGTGAATGGTGATAGGAAGAGCATAAAAGTTACCATATTAGTCTGGCTGGACTTATAACAGAAATTGCTTAGAATATTTTTTATTCTCTGTTCTTGATGCTATTACTCCCCTAATCAAATATTCAGCTTTTTTTATTATTAATCTTGTATTTATGTAATGCAAAATGATAGCAGCATTTCTTCAGTAAGGCATTTATAAAGGAGAATAATATAAAAAGACTTCATGGAGTGATGGAGCTTTTCCGCTAGAAATCCACTGAAGAAGGGGAGGAATCTGGCGCAGTAAATATGAGCAAGGTATCTGTTAAGCTGCATAAGCAGTAACCTGAAAAACAGCATAGTCCTGGCTGGGGTGATGCCAGGAACTGATCAGGAAAGGAAAAGATCTCGAGAAAATTCTGAAGATGTTTTCCAGTGACAGTGAGAGTGATGTATCAGCACTCAGTCCTTTGCAGGCCAGGAAAAGTAGGACAGGAGTGGTATAAAGACAGAGGCGTGGGTAGAGGTATGTTTTCTCTGAAATGTTCTGATGAGCACCACTAGTTTGAGAACAATATTAAAAGGAGAAAGGCTTCCTACTGCTAGAATGGGATGTGGGAGGGAGAATTGAAGGAACATAGGTTTGTTTGGGAACATTCTGGGTAATACTTTCCACTTCAAACAGTTCAGTTGAGATTAAATCTTGCTCCAGCTTACACCCGTGCACTTCTGTTAGGGCCCCAAGCTGCCACATCTGAAGAGAAAGTTAAACATGTTTCACAGAAGCCAAATGTGGAGCAATTAAACTTTTATTACGACAATGAAATCCACAAACTTTTCCTGTTCCTATCCAAGCTCTGCTCTGGGGGGTGGGGTTGGTGATTACCCCTGCCTGGAATTGTGTCTCCCTGACAATATTGCAAATACGTGGGTAGTTTCTGCCTATTCATAGTATCTCTAATTTGCATGCAGAGAGTAATTTCTGCTAGAATTGATGGGAGTAGAGACAAATAATATTGGCTTATTTTCTCTTCAAGAGTGCTTTCCCTGCATTAGGTATCTGCTGTAGCAAAAAGGAGATGTTTGTAGTTTATTTTTAGTGCAGTCATTTGCATACAGACTATCTGGTTCATCTGGTTTCCCAGAACTTGATTTGGAATTGCTTTCCTTCCATCCTTTTTGCTTGGGTTATATACTTTCCTGGATTAAATTAGTTTGTACTTTCCTTGTGTGCTCATCCAGTGGTTTGCACACACTCATGTTCTTGGACAGAAAATGGCAGGCATTCTAAAACACTTTGTGGCACTGACACTGTGGAGGGAGTTTTTCCTCATCCTTCTGTAGCAGCCTCAATGGAAAGAAATAGTAGTTGATGTGAAAGTCTTAAACTACTGGTTTATGAAAAGACTGTATTTAAATAAAATGGTGGTAACTTTTTAGATGAGCATAAAACGTGACCAGATACATTTGTATCATGGTGTAAAGTGTCTGAGAACACAGAGTTTTGTATAGGAGAAAATACTCTTTTTGTATGGGTTGAAATATTTTTTGTTTGTTTGCTTTACAGTGGCCCATCCTCAGGAGCCCCACCACCCCTCTGAAAAGCCAGTCATCCACTGCCACAAATGTGGGGAGCCTTGTAAAGGTGAAGTGCTCCGAGTTCAAGCCAGACACTTCCACATCAAATGCTTCACCTGCAAAGGTAAAACCTGGATATTCGTCTGTTAGAAATGACTCCATTTGTGCAAATGTGCCTTGGACCACTGATGGGAGGTTGTGTTTCCTGCCATCAACCCATTAAAAATATACTCTTTGCTCAGTACCTGAAGGATTTGAAGGTGGGAAAAGTAAAGAAAGGTGGTGATACTTGGGAAAATTCTATCTTTTTGTAGTTTTTGGTCTAAGTGCTTTTTCAAGGATCTGGAATTTTTTTAAAAACTTTTGATAGCAATGACTGTCTTTCATTAAGGATAGTTATGAAAATTAAGGTTCTTTGTACTCAATTGACTGGTGAAAGTATCTGCTTTCAAAAAACCCACCAGAAAGGTTCTGCAAAGGTGTTCTAAGGCTTTGTGCCATGGAGCTGCCTTGGGAGTGGGGATTGTGCTGCCCATTCCATAGAGGGAGGACCTGAGGAGCTCTTGGCAACTCCAGCTCATGCCACTGAGCCCTCTGTGACCACAACAAAGACTCACTGTGTTTTTTTACAAAACAGAGGTTTAATGAAGCGTTAAATAATTGTAAAACTATGCTTTGTGAATTCATTGCCTTTGAAGATGGGTGCCACGGAGCAGGAGGCAACCCTGGCTCCTTCACAGAGTTTCTGTTTAATGAACACCAATGCAGAGTTGGCTGAATTGAGTAACCACAAAACATAGGATGAAAGGTGAGAATAAGGAGAAATACCCAGTTCTGTGTGCAACCACTGTCTGCCACAGTCAGTCCCAGCTCAGCACGGGAGAGATACAGCACAGGAAGGGACTCAGGCTCCGGGTGAACGTGGCAGAGCTGGTGGCAAACATGGAGAAAGGTGCTGGGATAAATCAGAGTAACTGAGCAACTAAAACACAGCAGCAGAATCAATACCACATAGTTTTTCACTTCTATTAAACCCAAGTTATCTTTTTTAAGTCCATATCTAGCACGACACTGCAGATTCAGGTTTTGAAAAGTGACTCCAGCCCTGTTCCTGAGTTTCAGTTATATTTTTTGTGTTCCAAATGTGGGTGGAATAGTTGTGTGGTTGCTCTGTTCTTCGGCTTCCTGAATATATGGAATATAGCAGAAAGTAGAAGTAGTTGTTTTCCTCTGTCACTAAAGGATTTTTTTAAAAGGTCATTGAGTTATTTGTATGCTGAAAAATCAGTGTCTAGAATCTAAGAACTGGTTTATTAACTGTGGTTTTTAGTTAAATACAGCTAGATAACTAAAAAAATGCTTACCTTTCACCTAGATATTAACATATTTTGTCTGTGCCAATCTGGAGTGGCATCAGCCCATCCCAGAGGGCACTGTGGATCTCTGTCTGCCCTGTTTCTGGAATGCTTGGGGAAATGCATATCTCTTTCTCTACTACAGCTGCTGTATTTCAAGCAGTACTTGATGCCATATAATCCCTGAGCAGTTCAAAACCAGCAACTATTTGTTTATTTTCTTGTTCTTGTCCATAGTGAGTAGTGGTCTCAATTTACAGAAGATACTGGATTAGGATATTTTCAGCATCAGGCCACCTGAAACCCTTTGAGTCACAAAGGAGAATGATAATTCAGGCCAGGCAGCAAACAGTGTCCTTAGGACTTCCTGATAAAGAAGGGGGCAGATGGAGCAGGGCTTTGGAATTGTTGTCCTGATGAATGCACCACATTAATCTTGCTTTTTTTAGGAGGGGTGAGGTCTACTTTCTTCTTTCATTTGTATTTTAGTTACTTACTCATAAGCTGCTTTTGTGCTTTGACTATTCTGTTGCAAGACTGGATTTACTAGTATAAGTTTTTTTGGTTTTGTTCTTTCCTTCCCTAGAGGAATGTCTAAACCCATTGTAGCTTCTGTTTGTGATGGCACTTTAAGATTCTGTAATAATATTGACCTTATGAGTGCTTGCATGAAGATCACCAGAGAAGGGAGAGCTATGGAAATAATTCTTTCTGGGGGAAATGAAACTGTGATTTGTACCATTAGCTTGTTAAAGAAATGGAGGAAAGTAAATCCAGTTTGAGCTCAGAAGGGCCAGAGCTGAGTGTTAGAGACTTTTCTCATGCTGTTCATTTAGTCTGTGCTTATTAGTTGGGTTTGTTGTCTGAGTGTTATCTTTTTAGAGTTCATTTGTCTTCACAGGGAGAAAGGAAAGGGCTGTGCATGGGAGGTTGCTCCAAGTCCTGTTTTGAATGTTTTACCTGAGCTGCAGATCTTGTTTATTGTTATTTAAGTGAGTACAGTTTTTGTTTAAGCCACATAGTTATTTACTCACATTGCATATTGTCTGACCATATGGTTTATACAAGTGGGACACAGCTGTTCAAGTAAGTGGTTCTCTTCCCTCTTAGTCTGATGGGTTTTTAATATGACATGACTGCAGCTCTACAGGAAGTGGAGTTAGACCCCCCTCAGTTTATAAAGTAGGCAGCAAAAAAAAAGTTTATAAAGTTAGGCAGCAAAACCAACAGATACTGGGACCAGGATCAGCTGCATCTACAGGTGGCTTGGTTATCTTATTCGTATACTAAACTTTGCTCTTGAGACTGCAACTCCCATCTATAGCATGAAAGACTTGAACAAGCTCACACTTGTCTGTTTTCATCCCTGCTGAAAGTGCTTAAACTTTTACCCACAGACTTAGAAGATGTGGGAAAAATCCATGTCTTGATAAGGCTGTCACACGAGTCACAGAGTTTGTGTGATCCTGTTCTTTGCTCTCTATGAGATTCCTTTTTATTATTGCCATGCATGCACTCAACTTCATCTTTACATCATACTGTTAAGTGTATTTGATCTGTGTGTAGTCCTGCTTCCCTAGGTTGTGTCAGAGGCTCCTAGGCACTCCATGACTGCTTGACATGCGTGTCAGTGGTGGCTGTGGCACTGCAGGAGCACTGTGACTTGTGTCTCCATGTGCATCAGCCAGCTCGGGACACGCTCATGCGTCACCTAATGTGAGCAGACAATCGCCCTCCCCAGGAGTTCGGTGCTCTGTCCATCTCTGGAATCTTTCTAAGAACAGAGGAACTGCTTCCTGCCAAAGATGACCACTAAAACCTCCACTGACTGACGTGTTCCCGTGCCCCCATGATAAGATGGAGCTGGCTGGGGCTCTGCCTTGGAGAGCCGTGTGTCTCCAGCTGCTGTGTCCTATCTGCCAGGGCTGGCTGCTTCTATTTGTGGCTCCCAACAAGAGCTGATAGGAAAACAAAAAAGCTGAAAATGGTGTGGCTGTCCCCAGGAAGGTGAGCTCTGCCATCCTCCCGATAGGCAAAGAATTTCAGGCAGGCAGCAGCTGACTGGGAGCTGGAGTTAACAGGGGAATGATGGACAGAGGAGGGATAAGAGACATTTAGGAGTGCAGCTCCAGGAACACCATTCAGAGCAGTTGTCTTTGGCTGTTTTTCATGACAAAACCCTTTACCTTGCCAGGGAATTACACTGGTTTGTGTTAAAAATGCAAATTTAATAGGATTCTGCATTACCTCCAGGTGTAATAAATAAGCTTTAAGGTCTGTTTTAGCAGGAGTACACTACTCTTACCATACCAAATTGTTAATCTTTACAAGGCAATGGAAACAGCAGGCTGAGAGGAGGGAAGGTTAGATGAGGAGGTTGAGCTGGAGACATCATTGGGTTTGTCTCAAATAAACATTATCATTAACAAGAATTAATTAGTGGCTTATGAAGAAGTAAAAGTTTTTCTTGCAAGCATCTATGTACATTAATAACTTTTCTGGAAAAACTAAGACTACTCACTGCAATGCTGTTCCATATGTAAATGTGTGTGGGATCAGGCCCTAAATTACAATGTGCATGAGCAGAGATTTTAATATCTCAATTTAAATTGTGATCTGATACAAATGATAATTTTCTGCCATTGTCAGTTGATTACAGTTCACTTTACCCTATTGCATGTACTAGCAGAGGAAACTTGGAGGCTAGCAAAATTGCTATAATAAGGCTTTATTATTAAGCCTGTGATTCATCTTTTGGGTTAGAGGGAAAAGCTGGTTTCAGTACACTGTATTGCTTAACAGAAAAAGCTTTAAGCTTTCATTGTAACAATGTAAAAGTTTACATAGCTTGATTTTGGTGCATGGAGAGATTGGCTGAATTATCTTAGCAAGACAGGGTAGTGTTTGTGGTAGGAGTCTTTCAAATAGTAGATTCATGATGTCAAATATGAATTTGAAAATTTAGATTTTTTATAGTAATGTAGACTTAAGAAAAATTTAATCTCATAAATAAACAATCCTGCCATAAGAATATGGATGGTGTCTTTAAGTTTTTTAGTTCTCACTATTCCAGAATCATGGAATGGTTTGGGGTGGAAATTTAAAATCATGTCATTCCAGCCCCTCTGCCATGGGCCAGGTTGCCAAATCACTGGGCCAGGTTGCTCAAAGCCCTGTCCAGCCTGGCCTTGAACACTTCCAGGAATGGGATATCTGCAATTATGTGGAATAAAGGTCAGGTGAAAATGTTTCACTGTGTATCAATGTTTCACATGCTATAGTGATATCAAATATCAAAAGGCAATTACCTGCTAATAATCTTGCTAATTATAAGGCAAAGCCAAGTCTTGGCATCCAGGAAGCATTCCACAAACCCGGAGTATTCTACAGGAAAAAAAATTAAGCTTCTATTGAAACATTGTTATAAATCAGCATAAAGGAGTTTCTTAACTATGGAATAAATGTGGTGATTTTCCCCTCCTCATTTAGATGCCTCTCGAGCTTAACTTGCAGAATCCTCCTCTGTGGTATGTTTAGGTTCCAGGCACAGGTCTGGGTTTTTTATGTGAGGGCTTTTCAAGGCTACATCATCTGCAGTTCAGTGAGCCTGACAGGGAGGGGGGAGGCTTCCTAAGTTTAGATTTTGGGATGCTCTGTAATCCTTTGACTTTGAACTGGATCTTCCTCCCTTGAAGAACTGGGAAGAAGTCAGGGTCATGTAAGCAGACACTATATCAACAGGTTGGAATGTGTTTTAAATCATTAGTTC